TTTTGGAATTTCATACAGATGCAGTCAGAAGTAGCTATACATGAAATAAGCCTAACATAAAAATAGAGCTTTTTCCGTCCTTCCGTCCGGAAAGCAAACATCCTTCAATAAACATGCAAGGCGCTGTCCGGTGGGACCCAGGCTGTGAGGGAGGTGCAGAGGAGCAGCCTGGGTCTGCAGGAACACAGGCTACCCAGCAGTGGGGCAGGGAAGGAAGCAGGTGGGCACAGTGGTCCCAAAGGACTCGGGCCTTCAGCCCCAAGGTCCAGAAATAGGGTCCCAGCTTCCTTCCCAAAGCCCACTGCCAGGCTGTTGGGCTCTCAGGCCAGATGCATCACTGCCTGAAGTCAAGTGTGAGGAGATTTTGAAAAATATTCTGGAGAAGATAAAGTCTTGGGTCACTGATGGCCCAGCTTCACAGTCGGTGCCTTCATTTTGCAGTCCCTCACTGTCCCTACCCCATCTGGGCCCCAGCAGCCGCCTGCGGCTGGACATCTCCAGGCCCTTTGTCCCCCACTGGATTATTTAGTACCCCTGGAAGAATCAGTGGACAAGGAGCTCCCGGGCCGGCCGGCTGTGAGTGTGACATTTTTCTAGTACTCCTGGGCTACAGAAGCCTGGGGTACACCAAGCTCCTAGAAGCCCTAGTGAACCAGCAGACCAAGTATGAGTGTGGGCAGGATTCCCAACCAGAAGGAGGCCGCCATGGCTCTAGCACGACCCATTAGCTGTTCGGCAAGGGCTCTGTCCTCAGGCAACAGCTCCCAGTGCTGGGCCTCACGGAGGTAGGAGCCCTCTTGGGCCTCGCAGCGGTAGTGACCATACTGACGAGCTGTGAGGTTCTCAATGAAAAGGATGCAGCTAGGGCTTTGGTGTCCTGGCTCACAGCTCTGTTCCACATTCTCCTCGTGGCGCCATAAGTAGGTGGCATGGCGGGACTCCATGGGGCAGGTAAGGTAGTATCGAGAGTTTCGGGCCAGGGAAACTTTCTGCAGTGGAGCATCATCTGTGGAAGCAGGGGACATAGGGATGAAGAGGGCTCAAGGGCACCTTGGGAACCTCTCAGTTCTGCAGATAAGGCTTCTAGAGCAAGGCTTCTATTCTAAAGGAACTTGGTGGAGAGGGGTGAATCCCGACTTTTAGTCTTTTTCTTGCATCCTCCCATATCCCCACCCCTCTGTAACTCTCCTGTATCACCGGAGTTCCCTCAGCAGGATATGATAGTCCTGGGGCCTCAGGTCAAGGCCATGCCTTTTACAGATCAAGGTAACTGAGGCACAGCTGTGCTTCCTCATCAGCCTGGGGCCCAAGGGAAGAATTAGATGAGATACCTGGTTTAGGGTTGGGACATTCTTTGTGTGGCTCAGCTGGGTTAATAGACTGCAGCACTGACCTAGAAGTAGGAGGAGCAAACGTCAGCAGACTGGAGGCTGCAGTGCAGCACCCCACTTATCCTCATGTGACCCCAGAATGATCCTCCTGTGCCCTTCAATGCCTCCCCATTCCCAGGTATGCCTTTCTTTGGGGCAAAGGGATTTGTTCAATGTACCGTTGGGAACTGTAGATAGACACGCAGTGGTCCTGGTCCCAGCCGCAGTAGGGATCTCGGGACATGAGGCAGCCATGGCAGCCCCCGCTGTAGACCTCACACATATCCAGGGGTACCTGGCTCACTTCCCACTGGGAGCTCACATATAGCTTCCGCTGGAAAGAGAGCAAGGCAGGGTCAGGCCAGAGCCCTCCTCTGAGTTCTCAAACTTTAGAAAAGAGACCCTGCTGCCTTGGAGGTCCCTGAAAGGACAAACTGCAAAGAGAGTAACCCTCTCCCCTGCCAGCTGTCTGGGTGGTACCAAGGGTACAGAGTAGGGTGGGCTAGCTTACCCGGTCAGCATCCAATGATATGGCCTGGATGGCAGCTGCACGGTGGAAGGGCTGGATCTCCATGATGTTGAAGACAAAGCTGTGTTCCTGGTCTCCTGATTCCACCACCTTATGAATGGTGCCCCTGTCTATGGGTAGTGAGCAGAGGAGTGGGTCAACAGACAGAAGCCCACCTCAGCCAGACAGCCTTATCAAAGCTGAGCTGCCAGAAAAAAGACACTGGTGGGGAGGGTGAAGGCATCATGGCTCAGGTAAGTGTCACAGAACTGTGGTAGGGTGGGGTGAGGACAGATGAGTGACAAGGAACATAGAGCCCAAAGGCAGCCTGGAAGTTTCCAAGGCTGATCCTAAAAGGCCATCTCCTCAGTGAGTGCCCCCAATATGCCAAAGGCTTATTGGAGACTGCAAAATTAAAAACAAGCCAGGATTGGCACCTCACATTACCTTGGTTACCTCTTCCCTCCTCTGCCCTTTGAGGTAGGCGTTATCTCCCTTATTTTGCAGATAAGGGAAGGAGATGTAGAAAAGCTATGCAATTGCTCAAGGTCAAACAGATGGTGAACAGCAGGGAACAAAATGAAACCCAGATGGGTCAGAACTACACCTCTGGCTTTTTTTTTTTTTCTTACAACTTGCCTGCCTCCAAAGTACCTAGGGGATATATTAACTTTAATTGTTTATTTTAGGAATAATTTTAGATTTTCAGAAAAGTTGCAGTGATAGTATAGAGTCCTTGCCTAGCCATCTCCCAGTTTCCCCAGCTGAAAATCTTACATAACCAGAGTGAATTTGTCACAACTAAGCAATTGACACCAGTGTGCTCCTAGTCACTCAACTAAAGACTTCATTTGGGTTTCTTGGGTTTTTCCACTGATGTCCTTCTTTTGTTCCCGAAGCCAATCCAGGATTCCCGTTGCACGTAGTCTTAAGGGATATTTTAATTTCTGTTAAATCTTAGATCTGAAAAGAACCTTGGATTCCATATGAGGGCTCCCAAGGTCACACAGCCAGACTGTCTGCTAGACCAGCTCTCTCTCCATTGGCACCTGTTGGGGACTAACGGGTATCCTGAGCCTGGTCCTCCTAGTCCCACCTCAACTGCTGTCCCAGTTTCTAGAATAGCCTCTTCCTTTTCTCCTTCTATCCCCATTTCCCAGGGCATTATCTGCCCCAAAAAAGCAGTCAGATGATGCCTACCTGAGACAGTTCCTCTAGGCTCAGTGTTTCAACTGGCAGGCTTTGAGATGTGGCCATACACTACTTGGACCTGATAAACCCCCAACACAGCTCCGGTCCTCACCCCAGACACACAGACACAGATACACACAGACATAGATATATATTGACAAGCAGACAAACAGTTGGTCCCCATTGTGGGAGTTTCCAGTCTCTGTTGAGGACCTAGAGAATTCTTTTTTATTTTTATCTGGCCCCAATATTTCTAAGTGCTGCAGGCTCTAAACTGGTGTCTCTCCCATGGGCCACAGGGAAGATAAGACTCCCTCTACTCCCTAAGTATGCTTGCAGCCCAGGCACGTAGGAAGGGAGTAGCAGAGTTCTCTGGGCCTAAATCCAACCTTCCCATCCTGCACTGTTGACCTCCTTTCCTTTGTCCCAATGTCCTGTGGGAAATTCCTCTCCTTGAGATTTTCCAGGTGCCAAACAATGACCCCAGGACTCTAGCTTTCAACCAGGCCAACATGACCAAGGAAGCCCCAAAGTGAAGCAGCAACAGGAAGCCACTTGAAGGAATATGAACAATTGAGGGATGGGGCCTGGGTCCTGATGAATGGCCCGAGAAGTACAGGGTCCTTTCTTGTATCCAGGAAGGCTCGTGGCCGGGCCCACAATGGTCTCCAAGGCTATTTCCAGGATACCACCCCCTCTTTGACCAAGACCTGAGATGAAGAGGTAGATACTAACTATACTCAGGGTATATAAAGGCTTTCTAGAACAAAGGAGCATCTCTAGGGCATTCACTCAGCCTCCCCTAGGGAGGCCCCTCCAGGAAAGAAAGGGGAGTCACTGTCTCAGGCCTCTGTGAGGCTTTGCCATCTGCAACTCCTTCTTGACATGGCATCAAATTCTTTGTGTCTTACCAACTTTTCAAATGCTTCCTGTCACCTGCATAGCCCCAAAGTCTAATGGAAGCCATGGTCCTTATTCTGCAAGGCGCCTTCTCCACTGAGAGACGTCTGCACCTGGACCAAAGCTGCACCTGGCTTTGCTCGTTCACCCCATTTCTGTCTTGAGCTCTAGTGCATGTTCTCTCAACTCAGGATGATCTCCGTTTTCCCTCTGCCTCACCTCCTCCAGGAAGCTCCCCCTCTCTGCCCAAGCATCCACAGCTCCACACACTGACCCCTAATAGCTCTATCCACTCAATTTTCTGTCTACACCTAAATGCCCAACCAAATATTACCTACAGGGGTTCTTTATACCTTCCATATATTTCGTTTGCTTTGTTTTGTTTTCTGAAACAGGGTCTTACTATATAGCCTTGGTTGGTCTGAAACTTACTATGTAAACCAAGGTGGCCTTGAACTCACTGAGATCTGCCTACCTCTGCCTCTTGAATAGTGAGATTAAAGGCATGCACCATAACAGAATGGTTCACATCTATTTTTGCAAAGTAAATCAGAAAGTTCTGGAATAGCCCATCACCTGTTGTTAGGTAAAGGACATGAAAGGTCTCTCCATTGCTGGCTTGCATGCGATGGACGACCACTTTCTGGTAATGGTACTTAGAGTGGAACAATGGTGTCTTCAGTGGCCCCATGGGCTCCACCCTCTGTGATACCTCTGGGTGACTATCAGCTACCTGGAAGGTTTCTGTGGGTATGGGTTGCTTTTTTGGGAGGCACTGGGAAAGAGAAAAGAAGTAGGTTAGTAGTTGACTGGGAGGTGAGACCAGGAAGGGCTGGGGTCTGGACCATGGTTGGTCAGCAGCTCACCATGCCAGGTCGAGGGTTGGGAAGGCCCATGTGGTAGCCCTTGAGTGAAGAGGTACGGAAGACTCTGTCAATGTCACCAAGTGAATATACACAAACAGCTGAGTAGTTCCTGCAAGGATATACAAACCACCTTAGTAGGGGGCCCAGGATACACCCACCTCCACTTGCCCTGGTCAGCCCCATGCCAGACAGGGCACAACCACAGCCCTCTGCCTCCAAGCTCTGTAAGCCTGGATTATTACTGAAGCAGAGAGCCCAGTGCCCAGCATATCAAGCAAAGCTGAAACAGGGGAGGAACAAAAAGAGGGAGGGAAGCTCAACCAAGTTCTCTCCAATGCAATCTAAAACCACAATCTTGGGTTCTGTTACAGCATCACTGAGTTCAGAGGCCACCTGTTCCACTTGACTTAAAGAAAGCAGAACCCCCGGGCCCCCCCCCCCCATGGGCTGAATCATTCTCTGGGCCCTCCAGTCACAGGCTGCAGGGTGCTGAAGCCTCAGGAGCCCAGATCTCCATGTCCTGACCAGGATGAGTGCAGCTCCATCTACACAGGAGCCAGAGTAGGGTCCTTTTTCCACCCTAACACTTGTCTGCTTTGTTTTCAATCAATGAAAGTGATTAAAGAGTGTGAATTATCAGGCAGTGTTTGAGCAAGTGTGATCGCACCCAGCACCCCAGGAGAGGCCGCTCAGCCTTTCCCAGGCTTTGGGCACACACTTGGCAGGACACATAGGCAGGAATGTGCATAGAGCCTAGGGTCACACACCATGTGTGTGTCAAAAATACAACAGGACACACATCACATTATCCACTGCTGCCACCACCACCGCCACCACCACACACACGTAGTAACAGCTCAAGCCTTACACCCGCAGTCTCTGTTAATGTCATTAACTATTCCTCACCAGGGGTTGGAGAAGACACCATAGACCCTGGTGTCTCTCCACTGACCACTGGGGTCAGGGAGCAGGAAGACATCCTGTAGCCGATTGAAGTTCCTGTTGGTGGCTGCGTCACTGCACACCAGCATGGCTTTCAGGAAGGTGTTCCACTTGGAGACAGACAATGAACTCTCACCACCCTGGTCCCCCTAGAAGGGCAAAAAGCAGAAGCTCCTCAGCACCTGCCTGGGCTGCTTGACACACCAGAGACGCCTGCTGCCAGGTATGTCAGCATCCAGGCTTCTAAGGAGCAGGGCAGGTTACCAGGGGCTGATATCTGTGGAAACTTAGGCCAGCTTTCAGGTAGGCTCCAACCTGGTGGGCCAAGACCCACACTGGAGCCCTGCAGATAAACATTCTTGGTCCCCGGAGGCAGACAAGATCACACACATCTGCTACTTTCACTTATGCACAGTTGTACGCAAACATGCAATATAGCAAATTTACACAAACACAATACAGGTAAACACACAGGTACTTATGTACTCACATGTTTGTACATCCAATATGCACAGATGCTAAACCACATCTATTTACAGGCACATGGAAGCCTGTGCACACACACTGGCCACAGTTACATGAACACACACATACACGCACGCACGCACGCACGCACGCACTCATATTGTAAATATACAGACACATTCTCACTCACCCAGCCAGCCCTCACATATCTGGCTCACCCTGCACAACTGGGCCACTCGGGAAACATTGAGAGGGGCCTCTGGGTTCTTGTCAGGATTGTCTTCCCGGAAGAAGTAGTAGATCTTATCATCATAGGCTTGGTCTTGGTGTACAATGGTGGCCTTGATGAACTGTGGGTCTGCCAAGGGCATGGGTGACAGGGTATGAGGCTAGAAACTTGTGTGGGGTACCCATTCAACCTTGCACACCTCTCCCAAATATCTATGAACTCATAACAGCACTTAAGGCCCCAGGGGCCCTTGACTCTAAAGCAATACCCCACACCTGTTATGTCCTCTTCTACAAAGATGTCATGGGCCCAGGAGCAATGACTTCATGCCTGGGGACTTCAGGAAAGCCCCTGGGGTGCCCATGTCACTTCTGCCTAATCAACAGAGCCTTAATGAGGAAGATGCGGCCGTCTGCCCCACATGGGCTCAGGAGAAAGATGAACTTTGGCTCTGTGAGCCTCGTGCTAGGTCAGAGCTTCCTCTGTGTTTGTTCCCAGAGTAATTCAGATCCGTCTCGCCTGCACACCCTTTTCTGTGATTCCCCCTCGCCCACAACTCAAACTCCTCAGTGCTGGCTGTTCAGGTCTGTGCCTTTCAGGGAGCCCGCCTGGGATACATCCAGATACTATCTGACATCTTGGACATTCGCATCCCTTGGTCCACCCTCAGTCCAACTGACTCACTCTGCATGACAGTATCACTTGTATACAGCTCGCTCTCGCCCCGGATGCGGCGGAACCGAGGGATCTTCCCGTTGTATTCCTGCTTCCGGATGGTAGAGTACACTTCATCCCCTGGAGTGTAGGACAACATGTGGGTAAGAACAACGGCTTCTGTAAGTCCTTCCCCAGGCTCAGGCCACTGAACAAGGGGCTGACCCCCCTTTCCCGAGCCTGGTGCATCAGCACCCTCCCAGGATCCCTGCAGCAGTGCTGTTCCTACCTTCAAACAGAACCAGGGAGTTCTCATCCGGGCTGAAGGGGGCATAGCCTTTCATCTCACCAAGTGACACTACCACACTGTCATTCACCTGGAGAAGATCAGAGGTGCAGATGGCCATATGACCACCAGCCAGTGCACCCTACAAGGGCCAATTTTCCAACCAGGAGCCTATTTTCCCAGAGATTCTGTTCAGGATAATGCCAGTCTCAGAATCCCCCATCTGTCTGGCCATGAGGGGCTGAAGCCCACCCAGGAAATGAGAGCTGCGCAGGCACATGGGAAGGGTTCTCACCAAGTTCCAGCAGCTGGGCTTCCGGGCATTGGTGCCACAGACCAGCAGCCTATTACCCCTCCTCTCTAGAAGAGTGATATAGTTCTCACAGTCCTGTGTGGGGAAGGAGACTGTTAGGAGGGCGGGAGGCTCGTGGCAGGCCCAGCAGACACTAAGACCCTCAGTCTTAGAAGCAGACATCCAAAAGCGCTGATAGAAGCCACCCAGGACAGCTGATTCTATCCCGTGTGAACAGGGCCCATGTCAGGGGCTCATGTCTCCCCCTCTGAGCAGGGGCCCTAAGACCGGCCCAAACTCCCCTAACCCTGTAAGTCTGGAGAAAATAGGGCAAAGCCATGTTCCCTCCCTCCCTCCAACTCTCAGAATTTTCTTTCTCTTCCCAAGGGGCTTGCCCTTTTCCATGGTCTTCCCTCCCACCCCTGCACTCACCTGTTTGTTCTGGCAGGACCCCTTTGTGGAGCCAATGTTCACCTGAAGGAGGGGGAGAAGCATCAGTCCCTCTTCGAGGGATGAGATTGAGATGTCCCTGAAATGCTGTCCACACATTCATAGGACAAGCCCTGGATGAGACTATTATTCTCATCTTCCATGGAAGTAACTGAGACTTGGAGAGGGTAAGCAGATTTCCCAAGGTCACATAGGCTCTTTGTCTGATACCAGGAGCAGAGCCTAGCAATTGCAAAAGGCAGGCTATGGGTTCTGGAATCCAGTTTCTCTGCCTGGCTTCACCCATCAGCACTACCTGTCTGGCCATGTGTGTTAGCTCCCAGTTTTTCTCCTCATAGCCTGACTCTCTAGTCCAACGTGGACTACCGGTGGAAGCCTCCCCCAGGAGCCGTGTGTGAGGTGGGGAGGGGGTGGGTAGAAAGATGTGCCAGCTCCTTCATACTCCCTAAGGGCCCTCACCAGGACCAGAGGTCAGGGATGAGGAAAGGGAAGGGGAGGGCAGAGGAGGCCCAAGCTCACCGTGCGCATGGAGGCGTTCTTGCCCTCAGGGAAGTTGAAGAGGTAGACCTTGCCACGTCCACCCACCCACACAGAGACGCTGCCCGGCTCATGGAAAAGCACGGTGTGTGGCTCAGGCTGGCCAAAGTCCACATGGTCCTGCCCTGTGCAGCATGAAGGAGAAAAACACCCTGAACAAAAGGACCCTTGAGCTTCCAGGGGCATACAGACCCTGCTGGCTAACTAATGCTCCAAGTGCAGGGCACCAATGCTCAGAGACAAGGTCTGGTTTAGGTGAGCCTGAGAAGTAAAAAAATGCCCTGGTGGGCTCCAGAAACCACCCGCCCACACCCAAAGCCATGGTCACCCCACAATGTGTGTTTTCTCAGAGCAAGGAGCATTTTAGGGATTCCAGGGAGAACAGACCCAAACATACACATATTCCTGAAGGGTTGGGCAGGTGTGGGAAGGACCATCAGCTCTGTACTGTGAGGGGATCTACAGTCTGGTCCATCTCACTCAGTCTCACCAGAAGTGTACAGCAGGGCCTCTAAGCTCCAGTTAAGAGTTTGAGTTCCCAGGCAACCATTTTATTAACAACTCCAATCTTCCTCTGAGAAGTTGTCTTCAACCTCTCCTGCTTTACCCCAGGCCCTTAGTGGACACCATTTCATCTAACATCCATTCCTTCCCATTATACAGTTGGGAAAACAGGTCAAGAACAGACAGCCCAAGAACACATGAAAGCAGGTGCCTAGCAGGCCCTAAACCAACACTCCTCTCTGTCTCCCAAGATAACCTCTAGCCTGGTTTCATCCACCCAGATGCCAGCTCCTTCTGGGGCTCAGAATCAGCTCTCTGTTCCAGCAACTCTGGGATAGGGGACCTCCAAAAAACACAGACTATGTCTTTCAGCAGAAGGGCTGACCAGGGCAGTGTTACCCAAAAAAGAAACTGTCTGCAGCCACCACCTCCAGAGAGAAGCTGTCTATCTCTAGGGTCATTGTTGAGGTTGTCCTGATTGCAGGACTAAATTACAGGGATGGGATGGCCTATGGCTATGCCCTGGGCACTCAACCATAGCCTCGGTCCCCTCACCTCTGATTAGCCTGGGCCTCACCCCGGAATCTGGTCTAACCACTGTTTTGTCAGCTGCTGCAAACTTTGGGACAGATAATTTGGCAGTATCACCCAAACAGGACATGACCCAGTCCAAGAAAAAACAAACCTGCCCTAAAAGTCTGTTCTAAATCCTCCTTGCTGCCACTTAAGTCATTCCTACTGATCCCGAATCCATCCGGGGCAAGGAATGGCAAGAGCATACAGCATTGCACCCTTTCCTTCACTCCCTTTCCTGAATGCACACTTCTCCACAGCCAAGGGATTCAAATTCTGCCTCTCTGCTCTGCCCTTGCTCACTGTTTAGAGGAGGAAGCAGAGGGCCCCTGGGGGACAAGCCTGGCCCAAGGTCACACCAGCAAGCAGGGCAGATTGGTTCATCCAGACAGTATCAGTTCTCAAGAACATTCCTGGAGATGTGAGCCAGGCTGGCTACAGAGTGAAGTGCTGAGTCCGCTGCCCTGACTGGCCTGGCTCTCCTGGGGCACGACACAAACAGCCTGATACAGCAATGTGGGCAGGAATGAGGTGGGGGTGGGGTCAGACACCCTAACTCTTATGCCCTAGACCCCAAAGCTGCCTCTTATCAGCTCCAGATGTGCAGGGCAGGGGCTGCGAGTCCAGCTCTGTGATGCTGTCTGGACAGAGGTGCTTAATGGTGGCTGGGCACTGTCCTCAAGCTTTCTTCCAGCTGGGATAAAACTGTAAAGTTGGGGTCAGCAGCTGTCAGACACTTGGTCTCTCTGACTCTCCGCTCTCCTTTCACCCATAGCCTAAGCAGCAACCTGAGCAGCAGGCCCCAGGCAGCACACCTTCCCTTCTACTTCCTGAACATCCAGTCTAGGAGGCAGGGGAAAGGTCCATGTCTGCACCTGGGGATGTTGGGCTACTGAAACCCACAGCCCCAAAGCCAAGGAAAAGAAACACTCACAGGCCATGTTAGCCACTTCCACCAGTTTCCTTAGCTCTAAGCACCCAGATCAAGGTCACACTCTCAGGCCTCCGAGAAAGGCAGGCAAGGCTAATGTACAAGTCAACTCAAGCAGAAAAAGGCACCAAAAGAGACCATGGATGGAGCCTTTGTCTTGGAGGTAGCAGGGCTGTCGAAGCGCAGTACTGAAAAAGATTCAGGCCTGAGTGTGGAGGCATCAAGGACAAAGTCCAAGGGGGGTGGGTGCCTGGCTCTTCTCAGAAGTGTAGATATGAAGCACCCACACCACAAAGTCCACTAAGCACATGGTCCCAGGAGTGAGCTCAGGGCTGCTCCCAAAAGACACTGACGCTACTAAAGGCAGAGGAGAGTGTCAGCAGCCTAGTAGATGTAGCACTCCGCTAATCTGCAAGCCTGTTCCACTCAAACCCTGGCAAGGTCAGTGTGGGGGAAGACAGGGACTACTGGCCCCATTATGCAGAACAAACAGGAGCTCCTAAACTCTCCCACAACTCTCACCAGCCCGCCCATGACTCTCCAGTTCCCGACCCGCCCCCCAGATCTGTGCCTGGCGATGTGTTATGGACTGGGGGAGGAAGAGGATGGCACCAGCTCAGCCCTAGGACAAGACCTTGGCCCATTCTCCACCCGGCCCCAGCCCGGGCTCCGGCACTGCCCGAGGCCCTCAAAGGGCCTGATTGTACCCAGGAAGTGTCAGAGCAGCAGCTCCATGAATACATGAAAGAAAGCTTTGTTCAGGTCAGCAGGAGCGGGGGCTGGGGGCTATGGGCAGGAGGGCTGCCTGGAAGTGAAGGCAGCAGTATGTCCTCGTGGCCAGGATCACCTCAGAGAAAGCTGGGCCAGGGGCAGGGACAGATTCAAGGCCCTGTCTAGTCAAGGGCTGAGCAAGATGGAGTCTACCTTTAAAAGGGCTAGGCTCAGTGTTTACATCCTTAAACACTTTCTTTTTGCTGTCTTATGAATCCAAAGATATGGAAAGACAGATAAAAACTAGACTGGCCAGGAATTGGGAAGGGATACGCACGCAGAGGAAACAGTGAGAACCAAGATGGGGAAGCTGACTGTGTGGTAGGTACAGAGGACAGAGGCCACCCGCTGCCACCTGATAGAGAACTAATGAAAGAAAAATCCAGGTTAGGTCTCAGTGGTGGGGCAAGGGAGGCCCAGCTAGGCCCAGCTAAGCCAAGGACACACTGACCCACTACCCATCAGCCTCCCTTACTGCCTGCTACCAAGGAGCAGGGCCAGGAGTGGGAATGTCTCCCATCCTCTGGCATCCCCCACCTCCCACCTCCTGGCTCCCCCTGCTTCCTTTCCATCCCGTGTGTCTAAAAGGAGCACCGTCTGGCACCGTGTCTCCCCCCTCACTCCCCGGCCTGACGCATTAGTGGCTGACTAAGTGGTAGCTAAAAGCTCCCAGAATAACCAGGGGTTCAGGCAGGGGAGGGGGCTAGGGGCACACAGAGAGGACATGGCCTCAAGGAAGGCTAGGCACACCCCATATGATTCAGAGCCAATCCTGGCTGTCCTGAGCAGAGCAAGAACATTCCCAGGCGTCCCAACCTAGCTGGACTCCATGGTTCCCCGAGGAGTCCCTGCTCCCTCACAGTATAGGGTTCACAAAGCCTAGCCCCAGTTCTAACCAAATGTAAGTGTTGGGAAGATGGACTGGGGGAAGTGGCCCCATATAGACACAGCACCCCTGCCAGGGTGCCCATGAAGCCTTGATTCTGTTGGTGGGGGGTGGGAATCAGGCTTGATTCTTTTGGGGAGCCACTTTCCCATCACTGTCCCAACAGCTCACTGACTGTAAGAAGTAGGGATGTTTTCTTTGGGAAAACGATTGGTTTTCTCAAAGCATGCCTGCCTAATGAAGGATCTGCCCTCCTCTCATTCACTCTGGATGCTGTTGCCATCTGGTCCTGTCATTCCTCGTAGCCTGGATGCTTGTGAAAGAGGGAGGGAGGCTGGGAAGGGTGGAATGAGGGCTACTGCCCACAAAAGGAACAACAAGGGCTGGTTCCTGACCCATTGAACCCATTGGCCTTGAATGCTAACCTCCAAAAGCCCTTGGAAAGTGGGCAGAGAATGGCAAGAATGTGGGCATCCCAGGAAGGAATGCCTGAGTCAAGTCACCAAGGAGAAGGAGCAGGAGCCTGACCAACCACATTCTGGAGACTCAGGCATATCTGGCAGGGACCTCCTCCCACACTTGTGTCCCATTTGCCCCCTCACAACCTTGCCTGACCACGCACCAGCAGAGAAAAGAATGACGAGCCCTGTGGTGCTCAGGAGCTAACCTGCAGTCTCTCTGCCCTTTGGAATCTCACACTATATACATGGAGAAGGTATCCAAACAGTCACCAAGCTAGGAGGCTCAGAGGCAGGGGAGGCTGTGCCACTGGCCCAAGGGCAAACACCCAATGGAGGCTCACAGACTTGGGTACCCATCATGCCATCACATCTCTCTAGAACCACACTCAGGACTTGAGAGACTGCTGTGAAAACAACAACAAAAAACTGCTCAACCTCCCATTTCTCTGTATCACCCTCTTCCTAGTCCCACCCACCCCCATTCAGCAGGCACAGACAAATGAAGGGAATCACCAACTAACTCCCAGGTAGGGCCCTGATCTCCCAAGGGCCTTTAGTAACCCAAAGGCATGACAAATGGAAGTGTGGGTGCTGAGCAGGATGGTGAAGAGAAACCCTCCCACTGGTGGCAGAAACACAGAGACAGATGTTTCATTGGCTCTGCCTCTAATGGCCAGGAAAGAAGAGCGCCTGGTGCTAAGAGCAGATTACGGCTACTATCAGGGTCCTGGTAACACCTGTGCAGGGCTGGGTTCTGACAGCTGCCAGACAAGTACTGTACCAACACAGGTGGCAAGGCCTAATGTGGTAGTCACCCTCGTGGAGGAATGAGACATCCACCCTTATTATCAGCAAGCTGTATGGGCCACAGCTTACACCCACTGCCAAGGTCAGCCGTGGGTGGGAGGGGAGGATGTCTCAGGTGTTGGTTCAGGCTTGGCTCTAAGAAACCTCCCACCCTCTTTGGCATCTAGGCAGCTGGTTGTGGTTTGAGCCGTGGCAGGGCCTTCCTGAGTTCAGTGTCACCTTCTGTGGCCGGTGGGGATGGAAGTTACTGGTTTGTTACAGCCTGGGTTTTATGACCCATCATAATTCCAGGAACAAACACAAAACAGTCAACATTAAGTTCATGGGTCGTTTGGGAAAAATATGAGTCTAGGTGTGCTGAAGGTGTCAGATGCAGCTTTCTGAAAGTAGAGAGACAGTAAAAGCAACATCTTCATCTGCCTCCACTGGCTAGCCCAACAAATCCCCACCACCCTGCAAAGACAAAGGTCTGCATCCCATTCTACAGAGAGGAAAACTAAGGCCCTTCCCAAACCACCAAGGGCTGGGACCACTTTTATATATCACTGTGACCATAGATAGGATCAGAGGGCATGACTGCTGGACAAAGTAGCTGGGACAAAGTTCTGATGAGAAACACATTTTGAGGCAGCTGAACTGAGCAGGAGTCAAGGGGCTCAGGTGGAGATGGAAGGCAGTCACAGAGCCCAGCTAGAGTGAAGAGGGGCTCTGAGCTCAATCCTAGGAAAGGCAGGAAGCCCAGAACCAATGCCATACTCTGTCTAATTCCTACCCATTCTTTGGCCCAGCAGGTTCCCAAAGCCCTAAAGGTCAGCTGATGGCTACTTCAAAGCAGAGAGTGGGCAAAAGTAGAGAGCCTGCTCTTGGGTCCAGAGCCAGGGCAGGGGTGGCAAAAGGGCAGAAGACAGATACCTCAGGCCAGCAGAAAGGGAGACAAGTGGAAGACTGTGGTGAAACAGAAGGTTCCCCGCCTCAGCTTTAGCCTGGACCAGCAGGGGACACAGTGTGAAGGCAGCCAGCCAGCCAGCACAGCCCGTTAAGAACTGGCAGGGTCTGGGGTGCCAGAAATGCATTCCAGGAGAAACCAGGGATGCTGCAGAAGGAGTAGAGGGAAGAGGATGGCAATGGTGCGTAAGGCTAACCCTAAGCCCAGTGCTTCAGAAACACTGTCCATCTGCCAGGTGCTACCCTAAGTGATTTCTAGATCTATTAACTCAGCAAGTCTCTTATTATCTCTATTTCACAGATAAGGGGTATGAGGCACAGAGAAGAAGCTAAGCAACTTATCCAGAATCACACAGCTGGGTACACCGTTGAGCAGAGCCTGACACTCATTCCAGACTAACTCTTGAACTGTGCTTATCCTGCTGCACTCCAGGGACAGACTCTCAGGGACTTCTGGGGCAGCCCCTTCTATACAGCCCAGAAGACCAAAGCCGAGGGAGGCTAGATCCCAGGCAAAAGCTACTTGCCATCAAACTCCTAACCTCTCAACTTGTGACACGTTGACAAGTGTTATGAGTGACCATGAGTATGTGGGTGCAGGTGGAGCAGGAATATTGGGCACAGTGTGTCACTGTCACCCTAAATGCTAGCCAGTGTGACTAATTGGGAAGTAAACCTGCTGGGATCTCTGTCTCTAATAGGAAACTTTGGGGCTGGGTGTGCACACCAGTGCTTTTCTATTCTATACCCACCAGGTTCCCAGATGGTCAGCACTCTTCTCCGCCCCGGCTCTAAGCTCAGGAACTCACCACAACTCCCAGTTGCCCATCCCAGCAGGGCCCAATGCCCCAAAGCAGGGCAGTCAGGGCTCACCTATCTCTGAGCATCTCCACTACGGCTCACTGCCCTTGTCCTTTCTATGCAGCACGTGGATCTCACCTGTCCTTGAACATGTAGCCCAAATCCCCTGTCTCCAGTAAGTGTTCCAGACGGCTCTAGCCCTCATCGCTCTGCCCCATACTCCCTGACTGAGCTCCATCCACCGTTTGGCATACACCCTTCTAGATCACACTGTGTCTGGTGGGATTTCACCTTAAGTGTGGGGTACTGTGAAGAAGGGCCCATCATCCATTGCCAGGGCTGGTAGGAAGGGGCAGCCTCCTGCCACTCTTCAGAGGAGTAGACATTTTAGCCATCTATGGTGTGCAGTGCTTATCATGGTGACCTTATTGGGTAGGCTGAGCCAGAACAGCAGCTATACCTAGCCGTGTCCCCACCCCTTGCTCTGGCCTGGCTCTTTCCTTCCCCTTTCCCTGATTGTATCACCCATACCAACCTCCCATCACAGTCTTGGCTGTGTACTCCTGACTTCCCAGGGGCCCCTTTTCCATTACAGGCATGAGCCCTACCCCTTAGTCACTAACAGCTCCCTGGGGGCAAGTGCAGGGCTCCTTTTTGCTTTCCTTCTCCCAGGAGCTGAATCCAGGTGCAGGCAGGGGTCAAGGGCTGGCTGCCCTCTACAGGGAGGGTCCCGAGGATGCTGGCCCAAAGCCCAGGGTCTTGATTAGAAGCAGGGGTACAGGAGGCCCTGCAGGATCAGCCTAATCTCCAGGCTGTTGTGGCGGTTAAACCCAGATTAGCCTGAGCCATGACACAGAGCAACCTGCCCCCTGAGATCCAAGCTCTGCTCAGCAAAGGCCAGACATGAGGTACATGGAGCGGAGTCCAAATCTGAGGGTATACTGAGTGTGGTCTTGGTGGATGTGAACAGAAAGTCTCTGGGCTCAGTTAAACTGGCCAAGGAGGTAACAGGCTTTCGAAGCCCTCGACCCAGAAAAGCATGAAAGTAGAAGGGACACTGGGAAGGGACACCAGTAAGCTGGGAGCAGAAAACACAGCCCTGACTCCAGTTCTGCCTATTTTGCCTGAGACCTTAAGCTGGTTCTGGCATCCCCGGGCTTTAGTTTCCCCATCTGGGGCTGATGTGGTTGGCCCAGCTTCTCTCTTGACACTTCTTTTCTCACACCCTGAGCTCTATGCTGTCAGGCTAGGTAAGCTGAGGACATCTCAGAAGGTTCCTCAATGAAACTGAGAAATAAGGACAGGGAGGACAAGGGGGATTGAGGAGGAGGTAGGTATGCTGCAGAGAAGATGCCCTGGGGCAGCAGTGGGTGCTGGGAAGGAAGGAGAGAAGGGCCATAGGGTGACCATCGGGGCTCTGGGGAAGCAGCAACTCTGTGGCTGTGTTCTAGGTGTCACAGAGGACCTTGAAGAGGGCAGAATACAATCTACACGTGAGACAATGGGGCCAGGGTGAAGGCCTGCTGGAGGAAAGGGCTTGGAGGACCTTCCCTTGTAGGAGCGCCGCAACTTGGGACCTAGGCTGGCTAAGGAAGATAGAAGCCTCTGGTCTCTATAGAGCCTGGACTGTGGCCCTTTACTTTCTCCTCTCTCCCTGTCTGCCAAATACACCCGGCAGCCAGTCCTTCTTCCAAGGCCAGGGCAGATCAGGAGCCCATCTCTCCTATCCCCCAAAAAGGAGACAGGCCTCTGGGGTAGCCAAAAGAGGAAACTAAGAAAAGCAGAAGCCTTTTGGAGCTGCTAGCGAGAGGTTGAGAAGTGTGGTCAGTCTCTTATGACACAGCCACCCTGAATGGGGCACAATGAGGGGTGTAGAATGATGGTGGCGGCCTCATGTCAGCTGAGACTCTAGCAGGAAACTCTAGGGTCATTCATTCTCACGACTGCCCCCTGCAGGCTGAGCCTCACAGCCCACCTGGCCTGATACTCCTCAAAGAGAAGTGTGCAGCTTACTGTTTCCCTGTAGAGAAGCTCATCTTCAACCCAGAAAACTATCTGTTCTCAAAAGGAATCAGGGTTCCTGAAAGGGGATTCTGTTCAGAGGAATCACACCTGCCCTGTCCACAATACAGGGCTTGGGTACAAGGGTGTTTCTTCTGCCATAGAGAGCATGCAGAGAAAGGACATGGTGGGCTCCTACCTGAAGAACCCTCCTCATAATCAGGAGCTGGTGGGGAAGGTCTTAGTGTCCCTGGACCCCACCACAACTTTCCTTGAGGACCTGGGACAGGCTTGCCTGCCACTATCTTTCTCCAGAAGGCTGCCCAAACAATGACAAGTGCCCAAGTTCAGATGTCATCTCTTTCAAGAAACCTTGCTGAAGCCAGTATAGTGATGTACACGCCTTTAGTTCCAGTACTCGGGAGGCAAAGACAAGTGGATTTCTGTGAGCTAAGGCCAGCCTGGACTATACCATAGCAAGTTCCAGGCCAGCCAGAGCTACACTGTGAGAGCCTGGAGAGGGAGAAAAGGAAAGAGGGAGAGGGTCAGTGAGAGGAAGAGGGAGAGAGGAGAGACCTTGCTGGACCCCTGGCCAAAGCTGACTCAACACTGTCAAACAGGTGCTTCTCATAGCCCTTCCTCATTCAGCCAACTCCTGCCTCTACCATCTCAGCTTTGCCACTTCATCCAGAGAGCCCACTGACTAGCAGACTCCCTCAGCCCCATCCTCTGTTGTAGGTCCTGTCAAATTCCTTCAGCGTATGTCCTGGTTTATTTGCCCAGTCTTCCCATCTACAAGGACACCAACTCATTTAATTTCCCTGCTGGGCCCTCAAACCCAATCCTAGAATCACAAACACAAAGCTAGACTCAGAAAGAACCTGTT